AAATGTAATTATATAAATAAAATGTATATAATTGAGCCTTTTATTTCACAGGAGCACGAATTGCAACAAAAAAAATTTTAAGCAAAAGGCAATTATGGCAGATTTTATGCCAATGTTCCATACACAAAGCCGACTGGTCTGGTGAAAAGTTGATGTGTTCTGGACAAAGTTTTAGTTCCATTTCTTTTGCGACTCGCTGGACAACCCTGCAGGTTGCGATTTGGCTCATTCCTATAAGAAAATCATTACCCACAGTGTGCTGAAAACTTCCACTGGCCAAGAGTGACAAAATTGATGCCAATTGTAGAACTGCCGGAATGGACGATGACATATGTCCGGAGAAATCTAGTCTAGATAACACATATCGAAAAGCATCTTTTGTCAGTCTAAATCGTTGACGGAATCTGCAATGAATTGCAAAAATTATAAACACCACACTTGCATGCATTTTCATATTATACTTACGCATTTTCTGACAATGATAAGGGGTCACTACGTTCTCGAATTTGTCTTCTTATTATATTTATATTATTACCGTCCTCATCTTCCGAAGAGGATAATACAAAAAAACACGTATCCATAATTTTTTTCAACTTTTAATGAAGCGGCAAACAATTGTTTTGTTTACTTTTTGGATGAAAACATATGTTTCGATTGTCGGTATTTCGATTATTTTTTGACAATAATCGATAAATTTTTGAATAATTCCATTCGAGTCGTATCATTCAATTAGTAACTACGGATCGTAATTTAACTTCGAACAAAATCTCACTCTATATCGAGTACGAGCATTAGGCCCCAGTGGACCATCTACATGAGGAGGCGAAAGTCCTTCCCTTACGTCAGCATAATCATATGCTTTCGTTGCAGTACCAGCTTGGGTGTTACCGTGAGAGTCATCCCAACCATCATATGGTGGATAACTCTCCCCCACCCAGGCGTGTCAGGAAGGACATACATGATCTAGAGAGGGAGGTCCAGCGCTACAAGAGAGAGCCTCTAGATCAAGAAGCCTATCAGGCAGGTCTGAGTGGCATTCACACCGATGCAGTCGCGGATGCTATTAGCAGTTACAAAGTGAATGCCGTCCTCGGAGTCCACCCCCCATCCATTGCAGCCGAAGAACGTCAGCTGCCTAGACAAACCAGGGTAGTTTTGGCGCAATTACGTTCAGGATGGTGTAGTCGCCTCAATTCGTATTGGGCACGAATTGATGAAGATGTGCGTGACGCCTGCCCGGCGTGCGATACAGGCCCGCACAATACGCTACACCTTTTTAATTGCTCAGCCAAACCTACCCAACTCACTCCAGAGGATCTCTGGCTACAGCCCGTTAAAGTAGCCGAATTTCTAAACCTGGAGCTGGAACCAGATTAGCAGAACAGAAACACACACATGTACTACTGCTACAACAACAACAACAACAACCACCACTCTTAAGTGTAAGAACAGTGCCCCATCTCATTGGAAAATTAATCTCTGTCAACCCCATGCCAACTCAGTGACAAAATCTCTACGAGTTAATTATAATCCATTATCTATGTCTCCGGGGATAAAAAGTTTTTTTTTCTCGGATTCGCCACAGGTATTGAAAACATAAGTCATTATATAAAGCCGGAACTCGGTCGCTCATATACTGATAGTTTTGTCTTAGTCTTCTATTATGTCCAAAATATCAAACATATCATAATGATATAAATAAAAAAGGTGGGGAAGTGTTCATTGCTGTTGGCGCATCAAAAGGTTTACGTAGTTTAAAAGCAGTAAAAAGACCGGTTCCGGATGGCATTGTCAATATAATATTAAAATTCTGTTTAAATACTTTGTTGGTCCCTTTGTACAATTATTCACTTAAATTTAGTCACTTCCCATCTGATTGGAAAACCCGTATTGGGTGCCTCTCCATTAATATGGCAGCTTAGTAGATGCTTCTAATTATAGAGGAATTGCAAAGTTGAGTGCCATTCCAAAATAATTTGAAAAATTAATTACTGATGTAATTTCACATAAAGTGAAATCTATTCTAAATCCTAAGTCCAATTTCTCAGTGGACTCTAAACCTTATCCCAGTCTTATCCGATTTCATTTTTTTATTGTTTGTTAGTAATATACCAAATTCAATTACGTTTTCTAAATTTTTATTACGCGCTGATGATGTAAAATTATTCATGACTCATAAACATCAAATAAATGTAAACTTAATTAATTGGTGTCGATTCAATGGCATGGAGTTGAATTTAAAAAAAATTAAGTACAGGGTGAATGAAAAAACTGCAACAAACTTCAGACTGCTGTCATTTCTAAGCCACTCGTCCGACAGCTGTTAAAATTATTCCAGTGACAGCTAATTATATTGTTTACAAGCGTACAAAAGCATATTGATGAGAATTTTCCAGAAAATATGTTATTCGTGATGGTGTTCAAGCGCGATAGTGTGATTTCTTTATATTTGCTTGGAAAACCACAAGTGGCTATCGTTAGAGCACTCCAGCATTTAAATGTGAATAAATCTTTTGTGTCTCGTGCCATCACTCGTTACCGTGATACTTGTAAGGTAGCCCGACGTCAAGGAAGTGGACGGAAGAAAACAGCAACATCAGCAGAAATGGTTCGAAAAGTAAAGAAGCAACTTGATCGAAACCCGCGTCGCAGTGGCCGAAAAATGGCTCGTGAGCTGAACATATCGCAATATTCCATTCGACAAATATATACTTAGAAAGTACTCCTCGAGACCTTTCATTTGAATCCAGCCCAACGGCGCAGCTATCATAGTTTTTGTGCACTTCAGAATTTTCCATGCATTTTCCCTACCGCCAACCCCACTTTGGTTAGAAAATCGGAAAAAATCGATTATCTGAAATTATTTAGGAATATAAGCAGCGTTCGAAAATAAACAGTACACAAACACAAACAGAGTGTACTGTACCGGTACACTACCACTAAAAATATTTTAGTGATACTGTACTGGAACACAACGATTATCGCAGTGTACCGCAGTCGGAGCGCTAAAAATCGTAGTGTACCGGAGTCGGAGCACTAAAAAAACGTAGTGTTCCGCAATCGGAACATTAAAAAATCGTAGTATACCACATGCACCACTTAAAAAAATCGAAATCATAAAACTGATTTTAAACACTCAGCTATACTTTGTAAAATATTTAGTTTTTTACACCTACATTCATTGATTTTTCGGTACCACAAAATAACAGGTAACTTATTTGCATAATAACCCATTACAATGCAACCTCTAAAATACCCTTTTTCGCGGAAATTTTAAAATTTCAATTTTCAATGGTTAAATAAATTATTCTCACTTCAGATTTAGTCCTTTTTTATTCTTTCTACCTATTCCCATATTTTTCTATTTTCTTCAATTTCGCAACCAATCTAAACATACAATGCAAATAAAATAAATTCAGCTTTTATTTTCATAATATTGAATTGTATTAGTAATTTTTGCATTATCAAACATCTAACTTTTCTCACAAATCGCAAACAACATACATGTGGTGCACTACTGGTACATTATTTTTTTTAATGTTCCGCCTGTGGTACACTACGATTTCGTAGTGCTCCGACTGCGTTACACTACGTTTTTTAGTGCTCCGACTGCGGTACAGTACGATTCTCGTTGTGCTTCGGTACAGTATCACTAAAATATTTTTAAGAGTTGTGCTCCGGTACGGTCAATATCTTAGTGTACCACTCCACCTCGGAACGGTACAGAACACTACGGCACAGTATTTGTTTATTTTCGAACGCTGAATATAAGTCGTATATACATATAAAGTACTCCTCGAGATCTTTCATTTGAGCCCCGCCCCAATGACGCAGCTATTATGGTTTTTTTGCAATTTAGAATTTTCTATGCAGTTTCCCTACCGTTAATCCCACGCTGATTATTCATCCTCGTCGGGAAATTGGGTCATTTCCTGTTAAATTAATTTAGGATAATTGGTTTTTTCTTTTTATTTGTTGAAAATACATTGATTTATCAAAAAAGAGTAAAAATAATTAATATTAAAAAAAAAACTTTTTCCAATTAACCCCTTGTGCACCAACACTAAATGCAAGTGGTTCGTGTCTTTGACATTATATTTTAAAATTTATCTTCACGGGTATATGAGGGTATACCCCGATTTGTTTTGTACTTTTTCTGAGTATTTAAAAGGAAAAAATATCCTTTCAAAATATCATGAGTATAAGCCACAGTTTTGGTACAACCCAATCTAAGTTATAGCTCATTTCAATGAAAAATGTTGCTAAGCTGTTTACAATACTGAAAATTGAGCCGAGCTCCTTAATGGGGCTATTATAAACAGTTCATATATATATTTTTTTATATATGTACTATATCATTTAGGTTTTTAATTATTGTTATTGGAAGAAATTTGATAGTTTTTCGAAAAACTTTATGAACAAAGTATGTTCAAATAATGTAGGCCAAGAAGAATGTTAAAGTAAAGCAGGGGATTTGTGTGTTTATGTACATCTGGTCAAAAAAGGTGCAAAATTAAAATATTGAAAATAAGAAGGTAATTGTGGCAAATAGAGAAGAACTTAGTGTAAATTGTATTTGAGCTACAGATTGGAAATTATCTGTAAATACGTAAAAATGCAATATTTGCCTGTTGGACCGCTTGATGGCGTCGTATATCCAATTTAAGGGAATCGGATTCGAATTTTGGAATTCAATTCTCAAAAAAAGAACAAGAGATATATGCTAAGGGTAGACTAAAACGGTTCTAACATTTTCTGTTAGGAGGAGCATTGTACATAGTTAATTTAATTTTAATTTTATATTAATTATTAGTTTTCTAATGCAGATTTTTGAAAAAGGGGCAAACGTAATAGGTTCTCACAGGTTATGGAATCGAGCAAATGCATAATATATATTTTCTGTTCTTTAATGACGAATGAGCTTAAATGTCTCTTTTCATATACGTATAATTAAGTATATATGGGTTTATTACAAATACAATCTATAATTTTTATTTTAGGGAGGAATGTGAAAAAGACACGGTCTCGGAAAACAAAATTGAAAAGGAAACACATTCAGAACCTGAAAGTATTGGCATAAGAACCACAGAGTCTTGCTCGCTAAAAGCATGTGGATCTACTGAACCACTAAATCCTGTTGAAGGAAAAACATCTATACAAAACATTCAGGACACGTCAGCAGATGGTATATGTTCTGGAAACGAATCTCAATCAAAAAGCAACGAAGAGGCAAGTAGCATTTTTTTAGCATTTTTTGATTTGTGAATGGAGTAAGTAATCTGGTGTCCTTTTCGCAAAATCATATGGTGATGGTACTACATTTTCTTACTATTTGTTATTTATTTATTTTACTATTTATTAACCCTACATCGATTGAGTCAACCGCTGCCCTTATACGAATTACTAGGTCCACAGGGACCTATTTCTATTCGCATGGAATTTTATATGAAAACGCATTTTTTAATTTAGATGAGACCCATAAACGTTTATCAATTATTAAGAAATAAATCTACTCATGTTGTCAGGTTGGCTTCTTCTGTCGTCCTCGGCTTCCTCTTCGCTTCAACATTCTCCTCTTTTGGGGGAACTCTTCAACTTATCGGAACTGAATACGGAACAGAACTTTCTATTCATGACGTTGATTAGGTATTAGGTATCTTTCGTTGCCTAAAACCTGTGCAATTGTGTATGGTCGTTTATATTTGAGTTCTTTCGGAATTCACCTGTCTCTGGCGGTTCATTTTGGATTAGGACCAAGTCTCCTGCAAACCATGTCGGTTGCGAATGCCTGCTGTCGAATCGATTTTCCATCGTTCCTGAACGTGAATTTTGATCTAGTATTTATTATAAGCATTAGTTTTATTATTTAATTGATAAGGATTGAGATCGGAAACAGGACTAACAACTTGAAATGTGTGTTGATTAGTGTTCGCTTTAGATGTTAGAGGAGTTAAGGCTTTGGAGTCCGGAAGTTTAAGTCAAGAAACCGAAGGCATATTGAAGTCACCAGGAACTAAAATACGGTCATTGTCATTCATTTTTCTATATATCGAACGAATTGCTGCTAAATGATGGACAAATATATCTAAATCCGCTGATGGAGGTATATATGAACAATTTGCCCAATTCAATATAAATTTCAACAAATTATGTGTCATCAAAATTTGTTAGTTCAACTTTATTATAGCACAATAGTCGGATTCGATCGCAATTATGTGATATTCGAAACCAAAACTGTAAATATATAATTGGGACAGTTTTGTAATTATTCCCCGCACATTTTGATAACAAATAAGTACGATGTTATTTATTATTTTGAAATCTATGCTGGCCTCTTGGGGAGATAAGCTAAATTATCTGTTCTGTCGACAAATACTTTAACAAATGTACTAACATTTTCTGAATTGGAATCATTCGTCATTTAACTGCATCGTGAGAGTTCAAACGTCGTTATCAATTTCCATAATGAAGCCGGCTGGTTCCATTTGCGTCGGTGGTAAATCTGGTGAACGACTGAGAGCAACAACGTGTGCCATGCGTGATACTTGTTGTTGTTGTTGTTGTTGTAGCAGCTCATACATCTGTGTTCGTTCGGTTTCCATTTCTGACTCAGTTCAATCGGGTTCTGCCTCTAAGTCCAGTCTCAAAAAGGATGCAACCTGTATGGGTTGTGTCCATAACGAGACTGGAGTTAGGTGAGTAGGCTTGGCTGGGCAGCGAAATAAGTGCAGCGTGTCATGTGGGCCTGTGCCACATGCTGGGCAGATGTTCTGCACGTCGCCGTTGATCCGGGCCCAGTAGGAATTTAGGCGGCTGCACCATCCGGATCGTAATTGAGCCAAGACTACTCGGGTTTGTCGGGGCAGCTCTCGTTCTTCAGCTGCGACGGGAGGGGGATGGTCTCCTAGCACAGTATTCACTCTATATCCTTCAATGGCTTCTGAGACCGCATTAGAGTGAATACTATTCAGTCCCGCTTGATAGGCCTGTTGATCTAGAGGCTCTCTCTTATACCTCTGTACCTCTCTCTCTAGATCATGAAGGTCTTTCCTAACGTGCCTGGGCAGAGGTTGCATATCCACAAGATGGTGATTTGGATGGCTTTGTCTATAACACCCAAGCAGGTATTGCATTGACAGCATTTTGTTATGCTGTCGCACCGGTAAGACCTTCGCCTCCTCATGTAGGTGATCGACAGGTGTCATGAGAAGGCACCCTGTTGCGGTTCTAAGGGCGGCATTCTGGCAGGACTGAACATTTTTCCACTGCGTAGCACTGACGTTAGCGGACCACACCGGAGCCGCATAGTTTACCACAGACCGGCCTATCGCGTTGTAAGAGGTCAACAAGGTTTCCTTATCTGCTCCCCAAGTACTGCCGGCCAGAGACTTGAGGACCTTGTTCCTACTTCTAATCTTGTCGCAGATAGCTGTGGTATGCGCGGACGACTTAAAGAGGCTATCGAATGTGACCCCTAGTACCATGGGGTAGTTGGTGGTCGGAATAATAGCACCATCGACCTGCACATTCAAGGATAGCCCCATCTCCGCAGTCCATGTGGTGAAAAGTGTGGCCGTCGACTTAGTGGCGTATATCTTCATATTCCTCGCAGTGAAAAAGGCGGTAAGATCAACAAGGTAAGCGTTCAACCGATCGCAAATGTCATCAATAATGGGTCCGGACGCCACGAGCGTACAATCATCTGCGTACGTAATAATCTCTATGCCGTCTGGAGGGCGTGGAATTTCAGAAAGGTAGAGGTTAAACAGTTCCGGAGATATCACCCCACCTTGGGGAACTCCCTGTTTAACTCTACGGATGCTCGACTTCTTGTTTCTGAATTCCACGTACGACTGGCGTCCACACATGTAGTTTACTATCCAACGTTTCAAACTTGGCCGGAGGGTGGTGCGTTCAATGTCCTCGAACAGTGTGGCATGATTGACTGTATCAAAGGCTTTTGATAAATCAAGTGCCACCATAACTGTTCTATCGCACGGCCTGTTCTGGTTGAGACCTCTACTGACATGTGTGGAAATGGCGTGTAAAGCTGTTGTTGTGCTATGCAATTTCCGGAATCCGTGTTGATGATCGGCTACTGGGAAACACTCTCTTATGCTGGGGAGGAGTAAAGCCTCAAGCGTCTTTGCTACTGGTGACAAAAGTGATATCGGCCTGTATGAATCACTTTTGCTGGCATCCTTGCCTGGCTTCAGTAGCGGGACCACCCTGCCCATTTTCCAGGCATCGGGAACTACTAGGGTGGCTAACGACAGATTGAGAAGCTTTGTCAGATACTCAACTCCTGGTTCATCCAGTTGCTTCAACATCACCATTGAAATTCCGTCAGGACCAAGCGCTTTGGATGACTTTGCGCTTCTGATGACCTGTGCAACATCTGCCAACGTAAATTGTGGTGGTACCTCCTCGGCTGGAAGGGATCGTACACGGCGTAGTATCCTTCTCTTCGCCCTGTCACTCTCGGGGTGCTCTACAAACTGCCGGTTAAAATAACACGCGCACCTCTTCGGATCTGTCACTTCTACGTCGTTAAATGAGACAGATGTCCGATCCGTCCTTTTTTCCAGGGTTCGAAAGCGACTTAACCGTTGCCCACAATTTACTCGTTCCGGTACCAATGTTGCAATGCTTCAGATGTTCTAACCACTTTTTCCGCTTATGCTCACCTACTAACCTGTTTACCTCCAGAGTAAGTTCCCTGACTCTGGGGTTATTAGGGTTAGTACGGCGAAGCTCATCTCGCTCGTTTGCTAATCCCGCTGCCTCTGCTGGGAAATTTGGTCTTATTTCAGGTATTCGACCAGCAGGTATATAGCGAGCGGCTGCAGCTTTGATGATGTCCCGGAAACACCTATCTGCTACCTGAACATCAGATGGGTTGGGCATTTCTCTGAAGCGGCGATTGGTATACTCTCTGAATTCTTGCCAATTAGCTTTCCCGTGGTTAAGAAAAGTGCGGCGTTCAGAGTCGATGAAGTCGGGTGGTCTATTGATGGCGATAATAATGGGGAGGTGGTCTGAGCCTAGAGAAATGACTGATTGCCAAGTTACGTCATTCGTCAGACCTGGGGACACGATGGATATGTCCGGAGAACTGTGGCAGTCTCCCCTTATTCTGGTGGGCGCGTCCTCATTCACTGTGCAAAACGTGGAGCTATCAATTTGCTCAGCCAGCGCCATGCCTCTCTGGTCATTACCTAGGACGGAATGCCATAATTCATGATGGGCATTGAAATCCCCTAGCACCAGACGGTTATTGCCTACCAGTAGTGAACTGATATTAGGCATATAACGTGGGGCACAGCTATTTAACGGCGGAATGTACACGTTGTGCACCTCTACCTCGGCGGTTCCACACTTGACCGCTACCCCCATACATTCCATGTACGGGTCACTAGAGTCATGCTCAGGCGAGATAGGTCTGTACTGGACAGAGTGGTGCAATAGGAACGCTAATACTCCACCTCCACCTCTAGAGCGATCCTTCCTCAGTACGTTGTATCCATCACAACTTTGAAGCGTGCAGGTGGTACTCAGCTTCGTCTCCTGGATCGCTGCGACCTTGATATTCTTCCGACTCATAAAGCTTACTATTTCGTTGATCTTACCTCTGAGACCATCACAATTAAATTGGAGAAATGATGCATTATCCGGAACCTGAACAGCAATGTGTGGCGTCAACTGCTGCGTAGATTGCTGTTGAGGAGATTGCGGGGGAGTCTCATATTGCGACGACGATGAGGACGCCGAAGATGAAGACTCACTGGGGTCTACATTGACGCAGCAGGAAGCAATGTAGTTCCTATCGCTATACTCCTGTATCCGGTTTAGGCCGGAACAATTCCGGAAATGCACCCACTCCATGCATCCGTTGCATCTCACCGAAACCGATTTGTGGTGGATGCGATTACGACAAACGGAGCAGAACCATGGTCCGGGGTTGGTCTCGATCCCGGCTCGGACCAAGAGAATACGGAGCAAACATTCCGGGTAATGTTGCTCCCACATCAGAAAAATGGACGAACACGAACACGTATCCTTGTCGGTGTAGGTACTGAGAATCGAATTCGAGTTATTTCATCAGCCATCGTGCTACTCGTGGTAGTAGTTCATTCGTTGTTTTTGGCTTTGTTATTGCTGAGCAATCTATTACGAATCGTAGTTTGCCACAACTGGTTCGCTACACAACGTTTAATTAGCCTCCTAAATGCATCTTCGTGGTGTTCGCCCCAAAAAAAAATTATCGGCTCCACTTTTTCTTGTCAATATCGTGGGTGGTTTCGTTAGTCTTTCACAAATTTCCGGAAAGAGATCGTTATGCCAAGGAATCGTCGGTGATAAACTTTCTTATGTAACCAATTGCAACAAGAGACCACATTGCTTTAAAACTTTCAAAATTGTTTTCAATCATTCAGGAATTATCACACCATCAAGATACGCTAAAACTTCTCCTGGTTTTATGAATTCAATTACACGATTCATCGTTGCTAAAATAGTGCGGGTGCATTCACCAAACCAAATGGCATCCGGATGAATTCGTAGTGTCCGTCTGAAGTCATGATCGCGGTTAACTTCTACTTTCATTTGATGGTAACCCATTCGTAAGTCGCGTGCAACTTGCGCTATCTGTTCGTCCAGTACAGGCATTGGGTGTGGTATACGTACAGTTATTTTATTTAACTGCCTATAATCATAACCATGTTCACCATTTCTCTTCTCGGCCAATACAATTCCCGATGTGTACGAAAAATTCGATTTCCTTATAATTTCGTTTTCGAGCAAGTCCTTTAAAATATTTGCAACGTTTGGACGATTTGCAAATGCAATAAGGTATAGCTTACATCGCATTGGTTCTTGCGTGGTAACTTCAATTTTCATTTAACTAAGTTAAACTTACCCAATTCACTTCACGAAATCGTGTTGACGCTTTGCATCCAGCACGCGTCACCTTCAACTATGGTCCGTCGAATTTTTTTGTATAAAATATTTCGACCGAAAAGTACATCATTCGGAATCCTTAAATCTTCCACCACATAAAGATTCACGTTGTAAGTCGGTTCTCGTCAACATCCATCGTGGCACATATAAACGTTGTGCACTCGTATTTGCCTCCAGCAATTCCATTTAAAGCAACACTGCACTTTTCCGTATCATAAATTTTTATTGCAAAGCTTCTTCGGATCAAACTGCGATCACTTCCAGAATCGATGAATGCTTCTATCTCATTATCCATCACTTGGAGCAGTTTACGTAATATTTCGTTGGACTTTTCGTTGTCCTTATTTTTTTTTTGACAGTCGTATTCGGAGTTTTTTTTTCGACATTCACTTGCACCTTTTCTTCTTCTGTGGCTCTGGACAGTACAGGGTGAGATAAAAAAAATGCAACCAACTTCAGACTGCTGTCATTTCTAAGCCACCCGTCCGACAACTGTTAAAATTATTCCAGTGACTGCTCATTACATTGTTTACAAGCGTACAAAAGCATTTTGGTGAGAAAAAAAGTTATTCAAGCGTTTATATTTGGCTGGAAAACCACAAGTGGCTATCGTTAGAGCACTCCAGCATTTAAACGTGAATAAAGCTTTTGTGTCTCTGGTAGCGTAGCCCGACGTCAAGGAAGTGGGTTGAAGAAAACAGCAACAACAGCAGAAATAGTTCGAGAAGTAAAGAAGCGACTTGATCTGTCGCATTGGCCGAAAAATGGCTCGTGAGCTGAACATATCCTAATATTCCATTCGGTAAAGCCATTGAAATTCCAAAAAATGGAAGAACTTACACCGCAACAGAAAGAAAATAGACTTAAAAGAGCTAGAGAGTTCATTCTCTTGGCCGAAAGTGGTGAACAGCCGAATTGGTTTCTCCGATGAGAAAACATTCGCTGTCCAGCAGTTTGTAAACATACAAAATGATCGAGTTTACTTGCCAAAGAGGTCAGCTGCCGCCATTTTTTTCGGGCAGAGTGTGACAGTTTCATTGGCCGTTTGAAGGCCATTTTTATTACAAATCTCCGACCGGGGGCCGCCAACCCAGCAAATAAATGATCGTGTTCGCATGAAAATGTCGGCCACTTCAATGTAATTTTTTTTTCGAACGTCCCCACGCCTCACATTTCCACCCATACCGACCGAGGGATCGCGTACACATCATGATCCGAATTTAGTATGGAATTAAAAACCAGCTACAGAATCTAATTCATCAGCTAGTTTGTCAAATAATAAAACATGTATTTTAATTGTTTAAAAATAAAATTATTCTAGATTTAACAAATTCTAAACTCATAGCAAAATCTACATTACAGTAGACAGAATTAAAGTCAACACACATTTTACTAAGAGGTTCGCCCATTGAATAATTCGTGCGTTGTAAATCGGTATATAAAAATTGGTAGTATCTACTAGATCTAAGCGGAACATTAATTCTCATTTAATATTTTTAGTACAAACATGGAGTTCAACATAATACGTCTGCTTTTAAGTGTAGGCAATCTAATTAATTTTACCCTGCTAGCATAGGAAGGCAAAACAAAATTACTATTCCAATGTAAACCTCGAAAGGCGAATAGCAGAAATTGTTTTTGCACGAATTCTATTTTATCTGAGTATATTGCATATTGAGGATCCCATACAACAGAACCGTATTCTAATATAGTTCCGACAAGAGACGTAAATAACTGTTTTGTTATATATGGACCAGAAAATTCTTTGGCCCACCGTTAAACAAAACCTAAAACACCATTTGCTTTATTTACCATTGTTATTACATGGCTATTACAATTTAATTTTGGATCCATGAAGAGGCCAAGATCAACAAATGAATCTACAGTTGATAATGAATTACCGTCAATATTATTGCAATATCAGAGAAGAAGATTTGGAGAAGCACATTTGCTCACATTTGCTTATGTTTAAATCCATACAATTAAACCTGCACTATTGAAAAAGGCAATCTAAATCGTTTTGAAGTAAACTAGCTTGTTTATCACAATTATGGGAAATTAATAATTTAACATCATCTGCGAACATTGACAATTTCGAGTAATTTATGGAATTAGGTAAATCGTTTATAAATAAAAGAAAGAGGACCGGTCCAAGGTGACTTCCTTGCGGAACACCCGATGGAACGTTAATCGTTTTGGATAGATACCCTTCAAACAAAACTAGTTGTGATCTATCTTGTAAGTAAGATGGTTAACCCTATCAAAAGCTTTACTAAAATCAGTATATATTGTATTAGTTTGTTTACGCTGAACAAATCCTTTTATTACTGTTGACGTAAATTGTATAAGATTTGTTGTAGTTGAAAGACCACTACGAAAACCATGCTGATATGGACTCAATATAGATTGAACTTTCAGTGAAATTTCTGCAGTAATTAATTTTTCGAACAATTTTGGAATGACACTTAATTTTGACATTCTTCTATAATTTGACACATTAGTAAGACTACCAGACTTATGTAAAGGTATAATATAAGATTTTTTCCAGAAAGTAGGAAAGTGACCAAATTTAAGTGAATAATTAAACAATATACCTAGCTAAAGGAAGTAAAAAAGTGCTAATGTTTCTGAACAATATTTAAGAATTATATTAGGTATCGAGCCATCCGCGCCTGGACATTTAATCGATTTCAAACTAGGCAGACTATTGAACACCTCTTGAATTCTTTATAAATTCAAAAAACCCTTTCAATACGAAAAAAATTTGCTTTGAAATTAAATTATTGGGATCCTACTGTATTTTGTGATAAGAACATTGATACAAGTTTTCAATTTTTCCGCCGATAAGCGTTCCTATTTTGCACGTAATGGTGGCTACGCTGCTGATAACTACTGATTAAATATGTGTCACTCATAGCCACCTATATCTCTGTTTTTTTTTTTAATTTCAAACGTTTAGCAAAACATGCTTTCAGTTTATTTTAAGTATTGCAAAGTTATGTTTAAATTTAGCTGACTAACAAAGGAACAACTTATATTTCTCAAATGCTCTAACTTAGGTACTCGAAGAAAAATGTGTGATTTTGACCAATTCCCTCTAGAAAGAAGTATATGTCTTAACTATCGGTTTAATTCAATTAATTATTTTTTCAATGTGAGATATCAAAGATTTGTGTCCTAGATTTTTACTTGTTTTTTTTTTGTTATTATTTTTAAAGGATTCTCAAAGCAAATTCAGTGAAAATACTACTGATTTTATACGTGCATATAGTTTGGCAGAGCCATCGTCCGATAAGGCTAAAAACGTCTCACGCTTGTCTGAAAGAGCAAAGAAGAAGTCGTGGTATAACGTATTATATCCCAACTATAAAACACGTTCACAAGAATTTAAGAGGCTATTTAAGGAGGTGCCAGCCGAGGAACGTTTAATAGTTGGTAAGTCATGTTTGATTATCATTCAATTGAATTTAAAAATAGATTACACATTGAGATTAAAGGCAAATAAAATTATATATATTGGGAGAAAAGCAAATATAACCAACATTACTCTTTTATTTTTTCGCTGCAATAACCTCAGTAACCGTAATGTCCATATTGTTTTAGGCCCAGACTAAGAGGATCTCTTTAAAGTTGCATTTATTTAAAGTGAACATAGGCAAATCCCAGGGATAAAGTTATCATTTGCATGTTCTATTATTACCTCTATCCTCAAAAGATAGTAATGTAAAGTCGAAAACATCACTTAATTGTCGTCTAGATGTATACGCTCGCTTAAAGGATATATGGATAATAAGGTTAAATTCTGCGCGTTATAGCTCAAGTAAGCAGAACTCTCACACATTTCACATTTCGGCATCTCTTGACCCTACGTCCCTCCTGGGCGAACTATCATTGGACTCATTTTTATCTTTGGCATCAAGACTTGGATCACCATAGCACCTGGGCTTCATATGTTCGCTCCACATAATAACAACGAAATATTTCCTTTGCCTCAAACTTATATTGGACAGATCTTCGACCAGATAACGATGGTTTCCGATAATTTTTGTGACGATGTATGGTCCTTGTCTATCATCACTAAATCGTCTTCCTTGTACTGAATAGGTTTTGTGCATGGATGTTAGCAACTGTATGCTGTTGAATTTTCCTAACATTGAAATTCCCTCTTTCTTCATTACCGACATCTCTGAGACTTATGTTGAATATTAAATCAATTGAACTGAAATTTGTATTTGCATTTGGCAGCGAGTTCATACTGTATTGTTGGCATATTAGTGTCGGATTCTTTTGTACCATCTGCTAGACATTTTAAAGCATTCAAAACAAACTGTTGGAACTCTTCCGACGTGAACGCCGTTCCCATATCCGATACAATTCTTCGGGTATGCCCTTGCAACGCTGTGACCAAATAAATAGAAAATCACTAGGACATATTGATTTTCTTTCTTACTTTTTGGGATGTGATGTTGATGCTTCCGATTGAAATCGGTAGGACTTCGTCAGTATGTAGCTCAGCTTCTGCCTTTTCCGCTTTCACCTTGTAGCAGCATTCCACACGTGACTGAACATGCGATTTTACGTACCGTTTCCCAATTCATCGTGACAAACCTTTGCCGTTCGCTACCGAAGTCTTTCTGGAATCATCATACCTTTCATATTGGTGACATTGCGAAATAGCCTTCCATTTCTATGACGTAGTTTCATTTCAGTTTCATCACCTTGTAAACTATTATGAAGAGCTTCAAATATGTGTTTCAGCTTACTATCCGGCATTTGTAGTTGATAAACCCAGTCGTTCATGTTCGTTGTGAGTACCAAAACATTTTCGCTACTATTCTAGATTGAATTGATGGTAACTTCGAACTTCTGTTCATCCCATCCGCGTGAGTCCTCTTCGCACCTGAGGTGTGGGTAAATTTTAAACTTTTCAAGCGTCTCGACAATTGTTAATATCGGGAGTTCATGACCGGCATATTTTACTTCATTTTCATTACACCTACGACTGTTGTAGAAAACTGGACGGAATTCCTCACCTTTACGGTGATATAATATTCTGGACAAACCAATAGAACAAACATCCGTGTGTACTTCATGTTATTTGTTTGGATCAAACAGTGCCATGACAGTTGTGTTGTGATTTTGTTCTTCAGGGTAATAAACGAATTCATTAGTCATGTGAGTGGCATTGCTATTTGGCTATACTTTGGCACGAACTTGCGGAAGAAGTAAGTTATGCCAATAAATTTACGCAGCATTTTATGAAAAGGCTATTTCCGGCACACATGGGGATAACGTGTACGCTGCAATGTTATTTTTATTCTTTTTTAGTCTTCTTTTGTATTTTATATAGTTTGTAAGTTTAATTAAGATTTAACCGCTCAACAATATGAGATTCCCGGGAGCAATGAACTTTTTAACCTGTCATATTATAAATATTTTTTTAATTCTTCTTAAGCTAGATACTATATACCTACATTATAAGTTCAAAACCCTCCTTTTATGGCTGCTAGGAACTCTTCAACACTTGTTGTCCTTGACTAATTGTCAAGCTCGGGATTATTACCTGGTCCACATAGCTTATGACGTTTCTTCGATGTTTCAGCTTACGTATTATTTGAGCTATCATTTGATAATCCATTATACTCATAGACCCCGTGGTGTTATAAATGCCGTGGGTTCTTGAATTCTTCCTTGACAGGTATCTGGTAATATTCTGATTCCATTTTAGCGATTCTAGAACTACAGCTTTCCACATTAAGCTAAAGTCGCTTCCGTGTCCACAAAACGTTCATATTTCTTATTATTGACCGTAACATCTTTCATAACCGATGGGCAGTTATCTCATGTCATTGCTGCCGCGGCAATTCAAGTGGGGCTCTGGCATCCCTTTATGATATGTTACAAAATATGATATGCGAAGACTTCAAGCTGCTCATGTGCCCACACCTTAAGTCTGGACATATATGGGAATCAAGTTTCACCAAAATTGAAAAAACGTTTGAATGTGGTTTTTATACCCTACACCAAATAGTGGTAAGGGTATTATGTCTTTGTGCATTTGTTTCTAACATAGAGAAGGAAGCGAGATAGATCCATACTTACTTTGAGAATCAGTTTCTGAGACGATTTATGCATGTCAGTCCATCTGTCCTTCCTTGAATTCTTGTGAACAAAATGCAGGACGCATTTATTATCCGATTGAGATGAAGATATAACCAAAGACATAGAAGTATAAAGATAGTACAAGTCAGAGTCAAATATTGTCACCAGGGTTATTTGCCTCTGTTGTTACGATATCATAACAACATAATCACCAATGTTAAGTTATTTTAACAGGAAATGCATTTTCAATTAATTGAAAATGTCAGTGGAATACAATTTTGTACCCAGATTTTTGGTTTACAGAAAATGTCTTTCGTAAAACTGCTCTGTAATTTTGTTTTTTATGCTAACATGTCTCTGTTGTGAGCAGCGCCTCTATATGTTTTTCACATTAACTATTATTCCGTAATGCATTTTGTCCAGTCTTTACCATTTTAGGTCTTTGATATAACTCCCATATATCTTCAACCGATTTCGGTTTAATTGTGCACCAAATGGCTAATATAAGAATTCAGTCTAGAAGCAAGTAAATATTGTTTTTTTTTTATTACCAGCAATAGACTTAAATTTATTTTCATTTGTCCATATTTTACATATGATTTCTTAGGTTACTTTAAGATACACTATGTAATATTTTTAAGATGTTTTTTTTTATTTTGGAGTACACTTTTGTAGTTTTGATAGTTGTGATACTTATTGGCCTAATGGCTTTTTCATTGCAACATATAAATAAATAAATGAAATGAAATTGGCTATTAGTATTTTGAAAACTATTTTTGGAGTTCCTTGCCATTCACTGTTGTTGGAGTTACGTGTTAATTGCAGCTTTTCTGGAGTGCCACAACAAAATATTTCTGCTGCTTTGTCTTGCTGGTAGATGCGCATAGTTGCACATATTTAAAATGCCGTCCCAATTGATCTGCAATGTCTGCAATGAACATATTGCAAAGTCTAAGTACAAAATTGGATGCACTGGTTGTGTGAATTTTTTTCATTTGGATTGTGTGGGTGTGTCTGAAGCTGAGGCTAGAGTTAATAAGGCTCTTAGATACACTTGTAGTGCCTGTGTGCGGTCTGCTGGTGGTGATGGTGTGTCTGGGGTAGTTGATCGTGGCAATCTTATTAATTCGGTGCCGAATATGTCCCCGGCTGCTTGTGCCTCTGTTGTTGATGATGTTGTTGTTGGCAGTTCTGACACTGTGCGCCGTTGGCAAGATGACTTGCTTTTGACCATGAAGAAACAGATGGATATCTACATGGACCAGTGTGTACGTGAATTCAAAGCCAAAGCTGATGCACTGTTTGAGTTGTATAGTGTTCAAATTTCTGAGGTGAAAAGCAGTTTGAGTGTAATCAGTAGATCAGTGGATGAACTGAAGTCAGCTGTTAGTGAGGTGAAGAACACTGCTGCGAGTATGGAGGAAAGACTGTTGGGTAGAATTCGAGATTTGGAATTGTTTAATTCTATGCTCCAGCGCAGACTGAACCGTTCAGATGTAATTATCAGAGGCCTGCCTAATAATGTTAAAGACCTTAGAGCGCAAGTTGTTAATATTGCCAAGGTTTGTGGATTACATCTGAGGCCTCGTGACTTGCATCATTGCTGCTACATCTCTGATCGTAGAGCGGTTCTTGTTAAATTTAACTCCATTCAGGACAGAGATGCTTTGATGCGAAATTTTGCCAAAAGGGGGCGTATACTTTTGAGGGAAGTAATGGAGGATTGTCTTCTTGAATCCCGGGTGTACACAAATGATCACCTGATTAAGTCAACTTCGAAGCTGGTGTTTGCTTGTCGTGATTTGCTGAGGAAGAAGCACATTAGGAGTTTTAGATTGGTCAATGGTGATCAGCCTTTAGTTGAAGTGGTTCTCCCTGATAAAGTGAAAAAGATGTTTGAGCAGTGTGAGCTTTTTGAATTGGCCAATCGATCTCAGTGTGCAGTAAGTGGCGTGCAGCTGAATTCTGCTCCTGGTTTGCTGCTTGGTGATGGTAATGCTGTATAATAGTTGTTTGCTTAGATATTTAAGGTATGCTAGTGTTGTTGATCTCACTATTTTTTGATATTTTTTCTTATTTTTCTTGGGCCAAGTGAATTGTTAATATAACAAATTTTGCCTTTATTTTTGCTTTATTATAAATTTATTTTATTATATTTTTATTTTATTGTATTTATTCTTATTTTATTGTTTTCTATGATTTTTCTAACTTCTATAATTATGCTACCCAGCCTTTTTTTGATTTCTATGTCCCTTGATGGGAATCTCGGACCCGTGATCAGGGATGCTCAATTTTTCAGGCATGTCTCTTCTTGCTTCCATGGTAAACTTACGTATGGTCACTTGAATTGTCAAAGTTTGCGACCATCTAGATATAATCATAAGGTTGATCAGTTGAAATGTCTGCTTGTTGGTAGTGATATTGATGTTTTTGCAGTGACTGAGTCTTGGCTTAACCCTGCAGTTTCTTCGAGGTCGTTGATGGTTCCGGGGTACAAGGTTCTGCGTAATGACCGTGTTGGCCGCGTTGGTGGAGTTGTAATGCTATATGTACGTGATAATTTGTCATATAAGGTGGTTTACCGATCGGAGAATTATGGTGTGTGTGAATCTTTGTCTGCTGAGCTTTTCCTGGGCGGCTTGCTGAAGAAAAGGTTATTGAGTTCCTGGATTTTCGTAGGACTGACTGGCGGGGTGTGGAAGATTATGTTTGCAATTTTGATTTTAGTCCTCTGTATCTTACAAGTGATGTTGACCAACAGTTGGCTTTGTTCGATTTGTTGTTTCAAAATTTGTTGTCTTTTGTACCTACTGCTACCAGCGGTTCTCGCCCAAAAAATGATGCTTGGTTGGGGTTGGATGTGGTAAAGTCGGCCTGTTACGTTAGGGATCAGGCTTATCTGGAGTGGCGTAGGCGTCCTACGGTTCGCAACAGGCAGATATTTTGTATGTATAGAAACCGCTGTAAGGCTGTCATGCGTAATGAAAGAAGGAAATTTTATGAGGAAATGTTTGGTCGTATGAGTAGTGAGCAGATATGGAATTCGTTAAAATCATTTGGTTGTCTTGATGATGGTTGTGATGTACCATTTATTGATGTCAATGCTGTTAATAATTACTTTTGTAGTGTTGGCAATTTAGGTTCGTCTCGTGATTTTGTTGTTAGTTAGGCCAATGATTTTGATTCTTTTAGATTTGACTGTGTGTACATGGATGATTTGTTTCGTGCTTTGCGGAATATTAAGTCAAATGCTGTAGGTGTTGATGGCATACCTATTAAGTTCTTCAAATGCGTATTCCCTTACATTTGTAGTCACTTTCTGCATTTTGTAAATTGTATTTTTATGACGTCAACCTTTCCACTTTCGTGGAAGGTTGCTCGTGTGGTGCCTGTGCCGAAGAGGGGGAGTTCTTATCATCAGACGAATCTTCGACTAATAAGCATTCTGCCGGCTATGTCGAAATTGGTTGAACATGTTATTAAGGATGCGATTGTTGATTTTCTGGATGACCGTAACTATTTGAGTAGTTCCCAGTTTGGATTTCGGCGTGGTTCTAGCACCACGGTTCATCTTTTAGCCCTCACTGATCTCATTCGTGACGTGTTCAATAGTTCTGATGTTGGTTTGCTTGTTGGCCTTGATTTGTCTAAGGCCTTTGATTCTGTGGATCATACGCTTCTGCTCTGTAAGCTGAGAGACAAGTTTTGTTTCTCTCCTTCTTCGTGTAGATTGATATCGTCGTATTTGAGTGGAAGATCTCAGTTTGTTGTGCACAGGGGTGTTCAGTCTGATGTTTGTGCGGTGTGGTGTCCCACAAGGATCTGTGCTTGGCCCTCTGCTTTTTATTATGTTCATTAATAACATTGTGGGGTCTGTGTCTAATTCCAGTTGTGAAGTTTTCATGTATGCGGATGACATTCATGTCTTCTTTAGAAGTGCAGATCTCTTTGAGTTGGAAAATGTGGCAAACACTACTTTAAGATTGCTTTCTATGTGGATCTCTTCTAATGGTTTGTCTGTAAATTGGAATAAAACAGAAGCTGTTCTGTTTAATAGTCCTCGTTATGTTCCTACGCCGTGCATCTGTGTTGGCTCCTTTGTGGTAAATGTTGTGGATGAGATGAGATGTTTAGGTGTAGTCATTGACACCAAACTTAATTTTTCAGCGTATGTTGATTCGTTGCTGTCTCGTGTGCGTTTTCAGATGCGGAGGCTATATAGTCTTCAAGCTCATTTGCCTCTTGGTGTTAGGATGATGGCTGCCAGATCTTTATTAATGTCTCATGTCAACTATTGTTTGGAAGTCATCTCTGGGGCGAATGCTTCCCTAATTCTGCGCGTACGCAAACTTGTTAATTCTACTGTTAGATATGTGTTTGGGTTGCGCCGTAGTGATCGTGTAACACAGTATGTTATTAAGTTTCTTGGACTGTCATTTGACAGATATGTTGAATATCGCCTTCTTTTGTGTCATTACCGAATTATGAGGAATGTTAATTCTCCTTTGTATAATAAGTTTGTGTTTTGTAGATCATCTCGAAATCCGCAATTGCTGTTTCCAAGATTTTCGTCTGTAGTTGGTGAGAAGGCGTTTGTTGTGAGAGTTGCGAGATTGTGGAATCAGCTCCCTCTGACCCTGCGTAATTTTACCTGTTCTTTTGATATGTACAAGAAGAGGTGTTTTGAATATTTGTCTGTTCATTGAGTTTCTGGTTGCGGGTTATTTTTTGTTATTTCTTTTTAGTTGTTGGCTGGGGGGCCATTTTTATGGTTGTTTATTTTCCATGTAGTACATAATTTTATTGTTTTTTTCTTTTTTAAGGATTTTTTTGCTATACTTGTAGTAGCTACATTCGCTCGGTTTGAAACGAGTGATGATTAGCGCTTAAGTGTATTGATGCCTCTTTCCTTTTTCCTCTCTACCTTGCTAAACTGTTGTTCAGCTTGGTAGAGGAGTTTTGTCTGAGGGTCTAATTGCTAAATTGCTATTAAATTTAAATTATTATTATTATTATTATTTTTTGTATATATTTTACTATTCGTTGATAATTTTTTTTTTTTAGATTAATTTGGTTATAGACTGTTTTTATACTGTTGTATGTTAATATAAGATTTTGGCCATGTTGGCTTATTTATATTGAATTGTATGAAATAAATGAAAATGAAAATGAAATTGCCAATATCAGTCCAAATGACCTGAATTTTGGCATATTTGACCGAATTTAGTCTAGAAGCAATACATTCAATTTGGTGAAAATCGGTTCAGATATAGCTATAGCTCCCATATATATATGTTGCATCTGATTTGGTGTTTTAGTCCCTTACATTCGTAATATGATACAACAATGATATTTGGTACCAGTTATCAGATAGAGTTAGTAATACCTCTGCCAAATTTTATCAAGATCGGCTCAGATTTGGATATAGGTCCCATATATATCTTCAACCGATTTCGGGTTATTGTGCACCAAATGGCCAAAATCAGTCCAAAAGTCCTGAATTTTTGGTAAATCCGACCGAATTCAGTCTAGAAGCAAGTACATCAAATTTGGAGAAAATCTTTCAGATATAGCTATAGCTCCCATATATATGTCTCATCCGATTTGGGATCTAAAGTCTCTCACAAGCATTCGACAACAATGATATTTGGTACCAAATATCTTATAAAGCTCGGAAATGCCTTTGCCAAATTTTATCGAGAACGACTAAGATTTGGTTATAGCTCCCATATATATCCTCAATCTGATTTCAGGTTTATTGTGCAAATAATGGCTAATATGGTTTCTATTTTGTGCAACTCGGCTCCGATACATTTTTTTATATAACCCTTCTCCAAGTGATATCATGCACTCTGTAGCAAACTATAACTGCTCTTAAGCCAAATGTTGATAGTGGCGTAGGGTATCATATAGTCGGCCCCGCCCGACTTTTTACTTTTCCTTACAGGTTTACACTCCGATTTGATATTACATATTTGGTGCACAATAACCGTGAAATCAGATGAAGATATATATGGAAGCTGTGTAATATGCTGTAAAATATGATATATATTGCATGTAATTGTATGTGCATGTGGAGAAAGAAACATTCGTCACAAAAAAAAAAAAAAAAACTTGCCAGAATAAAGAAAAGTGTAAAAGTAATTAAATGCTACCTAACACGAACCACGCCACATAACTTTGAGTTCGAAATTAATTGGTTAAGCACTTCATACGTTCTTGTAATGACATATTTTCAAGGGATAAAATTTACAATTTTTTTCTTAACAAATATTGATAAATTAATTTCGACCAAATATTATAAATAACATCTTCATCTTATTTGTTATCTAACCCAATAAGTCTCAATTTTAAAATTGCACCTTTGGGATATCAGTAAATATAACAAAATGTTCAATCTGTATTAAAAGCATTATGAAGGAAAATATAATTTACAATAACATGCTTAAATATATGAAAAATCTATAACTGCAATACATACACATGAGTGACAACTACATTACACGCTATTACAGTCGAAAGGCATAAAAGAGTACGCACACAATATAACATAGTTTAAATCTAATAAGAAGTTTTCTTACTTGCAGATTACTCTTGCGCGCTTTATCGAGATTTGCTTATCCAAGGGCGTTTATACATCTCACAGAATTATGTATGTTTTCATGCCAATATCTTGGGCTGGGAAACGTGCTTGGTAATAAAGTGGAAAGACGTCACGTCAATAACTAAGGAGAAAACAGCACTAGTCATACCAAATGCAATTTCAATTCGTACTTTAACCGAAAACTACTTCTTCTCCTCATTTACGACGCGAGATAAAACGTTTCTAATCCTCTTCCGAGTATGGCAGAACACGTTGATGAATAAGCCTATGCTAGCTCAAGAAGTGTGGGAACTAGTACATAGTTATTATGGTGATGAACTAGGCTTAACTACAGACGACGAGGATTACGTAGACCCAAGAATAGCAGATGAAAACGACGGCTGTGCAATTTTGGAATTCGTTTCTGCCATAGACGAAACGCCCTCTATAAGTTTAGAAAGCCAAGGGTCTTCGAATATATACATATTTCGATCTTTTAGCAATAAGAGCGGTTCCAGTAACTACAGTAGCAACAGTACTAGTAGCAGTGGCGGCGGCGGCGCTGGCAGTGCAGCTTTATATCAAACCAGTAGAGAAACCAAAATGAAATCAAATGCCAAAGAACTTACCTTGATCTCAGCAAAGCCCGAGGAGGGAACTGCAACCAATGTTCCCGGACAGAATAACGCAAATAGTACTGGAAATGATGGTAATGCGGATCGCAATAGTAGCAGCACTCCTGGCAAGGAATCGAAGCACAATTCCGTCACCAGTGAGAGCAAACGAAAGGTGTCGAAAAATAGTAGAGCACGTGAAGAAACAACCAGTAAAAATGTTGAGACCTTACCGACGGATATTTCTGACTCAAGCGATTCGGAGGGAACAAATATACCGTAAGTAGTCGTCTGCTTTTTTCAATCGATAATTTGTCTATAGTTTTAATAATACATACTGACAATTATATTTACGTGTTTTAGGTTCGTTGCTACGACTGAATGTACATCGCCTCATGAGGGACGACAATTGGTTCACACAATTCTACCTATTAATATAGAAACTTTGTTCAATTTACTTTTTTCCAAGTCAAAATTCTTGTTGGATTTCCATGCAGTGCGAAAGTCCACTGATCTTGTTTTCGGCGATTGGGTGAGAAATGACGAGGGACAGAGGACACGTACAGTTAATGTCACCGTGACATTGGCTGCTTCTGTTGGACCCAAAACCTCAAAGGTTACAAATTGAGAAAAAAAATATTTTAATAAAATAATTACAAATTTTTAAATTACTTACCCACTGTGTAGGTTACCGAGTATCAAGTGATGCGTGATTGCAGCAAACAAGGCGAACTTTATTCCATAGATGTAAATAATGTTAATGCTGGCATTCCATATGCAGATAGCTTTAGTGTTTTAATCCATTATTGTTTAGTTAAGTAAGTTGGATCAGTGAATGGTTATGACAGGGTCACGTATTCATTGGTTTATATACTTCATAATATTTAGAACTGTTGACGATCATACGATGCTGTCTGTTCATGCCCAAATTAAATATAAAAAATCAATTTGGGGTGTTGTAAAGGGATTTATAGAAAAGAACACATGGGCTGGCCTGGAGGATTTCTATGGGGCATTACTGCAGGCGCTGCAAAGCGAAACATGTATACCGCCAGCCAAGGGAAAGGGTAGACGGCCTCGAAGGGGTAAGCACATTAGGGTAGCGTATGCAGCAAAGTATAAGCAAAATGACCGATTTTCTCTTTAAGGAACTGCTGTTCAAATAAGGCCGCTGGAAGATATACCACAAATACAGAGCAAACCAGAACCCTTAGAACATTTAATTGGCGCGCAAGCTGTTACCTCACGCAGCACGGCAGAAATTCCCGATGTGATTGCTGATACCACAAATAAACACAGGTGGCTGTCACTGTTTGTTCTTGTTCTATTATGTTTCCTCATAATTGTTAATGTCATATTATTGCTTAAATTGTGGAGATTAGAGGATCGCTTAGAGGAAGATGTGTTAAATAGAGCGCGACTTCCTAATTTGGCCGCGTTAAAGTATGATCTTATTTCGTTCACAATCAAATTCCTTTTATTTGCTTACGTAACAAACTCTTATTTGTTCGGTTTTAGGAAATTGCCTAACAATCATGAGGATTGGATTGACCTCTTGCGACAACAGGAAATGTTGCACGAGGCGGAACTGAGAAAATGGCATACAGTTTTACAAACCGCAATCGAGTTACTAAAGAAGGTGAGCATTGTTTGCCAAAATATATTACCCAAAGATAATATAATTGAACAAATTGATCGGATCAGTGATGAGTTTTAGTTTATCTTATTCATACGTTTGTCTATAAAATTTATACAAAAAATCCAATGGACTTTTCCTTCAAGTATGTGTTAGAAGAGGCTTTAGTTCAACTAATCAAAGTTTATGTAGTTAGCAACATCATCCATATGCCAATAATTGATAATCAGCTACTGCACAAAATAATAAAATCTCTAGTAAATGTTTAGCACTCCTTTTTTCGATTTTCTTTTATTTAAAACACATTATTAATGAAATCCGTCCGTTTTCTATCAACTTTAAACTATGTTTTGATCAAAGTATGCCATGTGTTACACGTTAAACTTTTGTATGTACGAAACATAGAGTATCCATGTCTATTTAGAAATTGCTTCTTACTATGTCTAAATTTATTCAATAAAGCTAAATTTAAATAAGAACACTTTTTATAATTTCTAAAAACAAAAGCACAACATGGAGTGCATAGATTGCTCTGGAGAATATATTGATTTGCCTACGAGACCGTAGAATTATTTAAATTCACGAAGTTCAAGATATATGAGGATTGTTATATTTGCATTTATTTACTAAAGTTTTGAATAAGTTTTATAAATTAAGTTGCAAAATATACTAATTTTTGATATACAATGAAATGTATTTATGAAGGAAAAGTCCATACAAGAACCATATTCACATACAGTTTTATTGTCAGGGTAGAAGTTTTTTTAATGTTTGTGTGTTGGCAGCGCGTGTGTATGTCTGTTAAATGTTTAGTTTGTCCAGACCTTTTGTTTTTTGTTCGTTTGTTCTTTATTAAATCGAAGTTTTTATTTTTTTATGATATTTATAATTTTCCTTACGTATTATGCATTTTTTTATCATTTCAGACTGAAAAAACCTTGGCTGAACTTATGTTTCGCTAACCTTTCCATGTATTGTATTTTTAAGTTTTTTAGTATATAAAAATATTATATACTTATTTCCTATGTATATACAGAACTAAAAATTACCACTGGGACAGACCAGACGCAATATGTGATTTTTTCATCGACTTTAAGCCACAAATTAAAGTTTATTTTGGTACATAAGGACATTTATAGTTTCATTGTTTTGTTTTATTTGTCAGTTTTTGTTGTTTTTTGACCAATTTACACATTGTTTTTAATTTATATTTTAGTCTATATACGTACGTAAATGAAGCTATTAGAATTACGAAAGTGAAATATATGCCAAGTTGTTTGTTTTTATTTGTAATTTGTCTTTCATTTGGATTAGTTTAGTTTAATTTTACTCATGTATGTATGTAACTTGGCTAATGGAAGACATGGTGTGCTTATTTTAATATGTCTTTACTTCGACTGCAGAAAATAAAATATTTGGGAACTGGAAAATTAATGTGATTTATTAGCACGTTTAAATTTATTGTAAAGGAGTTATAAATTTGCATCATTGAGGCATTTTTCCATCATCCATCATGAAAAATATTATGTACAATATCTTTTTTGTATCACATCTGAAAGTCGAATACTAAGGTACCTAGCCCATGCCGTCATGTACACATTTTAGAAGCTTTACAAACTGAATTGGTGCAGAGCATTTTTATTATAGCACCGTTTTTATCTCTACGCAAGCCATCACACAATCTTAAAGTCGAACTTTTCGTATGATATATTTTGCTTTTTTGTAACACATCCAATGAAAACCAAACAAAGGTATAGAGAAGAGAATCTATTGTAAACTTCTTCTAAATGGCTCTTGAAGTATGTATTTACCGTACAATTAGAAATTACATTATAGTTTTAATATTGAGCATTTGTCTATAAAAAATGTATAAAATTAAAATAAAATTCAGATAATGGAAATTAGATGAAATCCAAGAAAATAAGTTGCAATTATTTAAAAATTAAGGTTTGTATGATAATTATTACAAGTAACAGCAAGTCCCAGCTGATTTGACTCTATAGTAATACTAGGTCAAACTCGATAGGATGTTTTGTGATTTAATTCCATTTCTTGATATACAATAGGTATTCCCTCTTTTTGATATAAAATTTCACTGCATGGCAGTTTGAACATATTTTTTGTATAAAAATAGAAAAAATCGCCGTTGTACTTAACAAAACACCAAAGGCGATGGTTCGGAAACTTTTTTGTTGTTAATTAACAGCGATACCACGTTATATAAAATATTCGTATATTTCATGTGTCCTAAAATTACAAAATTTAGAATACTTTATGTATGTATGCTGTTTGATTTCAACTTGAAAGTGGAGTTGCCTTTTCCGCGATTTTCTAGCGATTGCCTGAAGTGTTGAGAGATTAGGGCCAACAGCCAACAACTATACATTCAGGAGAATGATTTGAAAGCATTAAAATTAAATATTTTAAGAACTAGTCTTCTGCATTTTCAATTTAATATTCAAAATGCCAAAAATGTATATTTTTCAAATTTAAATAATTTATTGAAAATTAATTATTTTGCTCTGACACTTGTATTACGTACAAAAACAAATTTGTATGTGGTTGTTGTAACGATTGTTGTACAACAACACTTACTGTTACCTTTATTTTTCTACCATGGTAACAGGTCTAAGAAAAATTCGATAAGGCGTAAAAAATGGAAATTTGCTCTCACATTTTTTTTATAAAAATAAAAAGTAAAATTGCCCAATGTAAAATTCAAATTAGTTTTTTTTTTAACACAACAGCGTTATCTAAAATTGAACGTACTCTTACGACGTTTTTCACTACACAAGTAAAACACATACGTACAAAATACGACGAACGTACAAAATGTCAACATTGGCAATTGAACAATTCCTTGTGCCGAAAATTGAAACGAATAAAACTAAAATGTAAATGTGGAATTGGAAATATAACAAGTTAAAAAGCAGAAAGTTCGGGCGGGCCGAACTTTGAATACCCTCCACCATTTGGAAAGAATTTGTTAATTTTCAAAAAATAAAATCCGATAAAAATTCTGTTAAAATCTTAAAAATACTGAATATAGCCGTTATGTTGGGGTCAATACGACGTGGACCTACATAGGCAATGTTTGTTGTAAGCCATTACCATATTATAAACGGGTACAATGTAGCATCTTCAAAATACCGTATATAGGAAGCTACCGTTATATCGGAGCTATACGAAGACCTGGATCTGCATAGACAATTTTCTGTCATAAGCTGTAGTATCCATTACGAACTTCAAATACGACATCTCAAACAATTTCGGTGGGTATTGTACCTAAACTCGTCAAAATACCGAATATAGGGAGGTACTGATACATGGGGCCTACACGAAGACCTGGACCTGCATAAACAATTTTATGTCATAGACTAGTTCCCATTACGAACTCTAAATACGTAATTTGAAACTACTCCGGTGAATAATGGCGCTAAAATCATCAAAATACCGAATATTGGGAGGTACCGTTATAGGAGGGCTATACGAAGACGTGGACCTGCATTGACAATTTTCTGTCATAAGCTGTAGCATCCATTGCGAACTTCAAATGCCAAATTTGAAACAATTCCGTTGAATAATGTCGCTAAAATCATTAAGATACCGAATATATGGAGGTACCGTTACATAGGGGCTATCCGAAGACGTGGACCTGCACAGACAATTTTCTGTCCTAGACTGTAGTATCTATTACGAACTTCAAGTGCCAAATTTGAAACAATTCCGGTGAATTATGTCGCTAAAATTATCAAAATATCGAATATCGGGAGGTTCCGTTATATGGGGCTATATGAAAACCTGGACCTACATGACCATTTACGAACCTATCCTGCCTACTGGCAAAATAAACATGTGTGCAAAATTTTAGCCTTCTATCTCAATCCGTTCAAAATACATCGCTAAATCGACTTAGAAATTTACGCTGATAGAATATATATACTTTGTTGGGTCTGATATGAGTATTTCGAGGAGTTACAAACGGAATGACAAAGTTAATATACCCTCCATAGGATGGTTGAGGGTATAAAAATTGGGTGAAATTTGATAATTACCAGTTTTTACAACGTGGAGATGGCGTGTTTGGGTAATACGGACGATAAAAAACATTTTACCATAGTGGGGAAGGTGAATATTTGTGTACGCTACGTCGAATTGTCGGTAACGCTGTAAAAAATAAATTATGCCAAAATTAAATTTGTTCAATTTTGAAATTCTGAAATTTAAATTTCTATTTACACCTATTGGGGAAAAGATTGTTTGTAAAATATTGTGCGATAAGTGTCAAACAAAATAATCTACCCTACAATTAGGTAGCTGCTAGCCGAACAAAAATGTTGCTGTTTGGGGATAATCTGATGGATCATTTACATAGGGAGGTAAATGTTTTTCCATTACGAGGATAGACCTCTAGGCAGGTGTGAATAGCATTCATACTGGGTTGTTCGCCGATGTAGTCAACTATAACAATGTGAATACCATCCTCCGAGTCCACCTTCCACCCGAATTATCATGCGTTCAACTTTTGAAAAACGTCGAAGGCGCAAGTCGGGGGTCTTACAAAACATTTTTTGTTAAAAAAATTTTATCCGGGCCAAGTGCGATAATTGACTAATCTTAATAAATTTAACGTATCTTTTCTATAGTCAAACCTATTGTGATTGATCCGGGTAATGGCCCAACAGTAAAGTGTTCACTGTATGTTTATCTTTCGTACTGTGATTTCAATCACAATTCTAGTTTTAACAACTAATCCAGATGATCAGCTGTGCAAATTTAGTAACTATTGATTGTGCCATGGATTTTCAATTTACATTTGGACAATGAGAAGTTAAATGGACATTTTAAAAAATAAATGTAATTATATGTTAGTTAAGATATTTCCAATACCACAAGCGGTTGGGTGTTGTGTTATTTATGACAATCAAATTAAAACTAAAGTTTCAAAAAATATAATTCATAAATGTTTCTCATTAGTTTCTCTAACAACTAATGCACTGTCCGCGTCTTTGTTTTTTTTTTCTTTTTTTTGTAAATAATAATAATACTAATCTATATATATAAATGTAAGTTGTGTTAGTTACTACGCTTATAACTTAAGAACCGCTGGATTAATTTTAACGATTCACACAAATTCGGAGTTGTCTACTCTCCGAAAAGGATAATATCCAAAAAAATCGCGTACAAATGTGATATATTAACATTTTCATTTTGACTTTTCAAATGTACAATAGTAATGTTTTATTTTGCATGATTTTTTTCCATTTTGACTTACTTTTTTCTAATGTACATTTGTAGTGTTTTTTTATATTTTATTTTTGAATTCGAATATTTATTCCAATTTATTTAATTGACTTGATTTCTTGAGAACTGAAATTAATGGCGGGTTACATGGAAGTGTAGTAGCGAATTATGTGGTGGCGAAACGGAATAGATGATATCGAAATAATTTAACGCGGTCACACCAAAGTTAAAAGATAATTGCTTTTCCTAAATCGCTGAAAAATCATGAAAAAGAGATCTCATTGCACCCCTAACCATGTCAGTCTGTTTGTCCGCCAAAAGGTGGACTTGAGAGGGTATTATAACATGGATAAAAATTCTAAAATTTGTAGATATGTTGAAATTTTAGTGTAAGATTTTCACCCCCCTAATACGCATTATTAGCCAAATTCTTTGAAATGTGGTTAAATTAGGAGGTACCTTCTTTATATAGGCACTACTCCGAAACATCGACCTACATTGAAAACTTTCTTCTACCCCTTATAATCCAAGATGACAAATAGAGGCCAAATCAAAAATATAGCAGAACAATATAGCATGTCATAGCATTTCGCGTGATTTAAATAAGTAAAAATAGTTTTATCCACCTCATAATTAAGGGCAGAATGATAAGATGGGAATTAATTTTATTTGCCAAATCTACGTTCCCAACCAATATTCTCTTGGGGGTTAAAAATTCAATAGAATACAAAATTTTCTTTTCTGACCACACATTAGATGTGAAAGTGGACTTGGGGATACTCCAATGTGGGGACTTTACTTAAATAAATTGCTATGTGGCAATTATCTGTATGATGGTTCCCTACCCCAGGGTGGCATAAATAAAATTTTTTAGCCAAATCAATTGATGAATGTGATCAATACCAATATGGGCCCTACTCTGAAAATTTCAAATTTTATGCGAAGAGGTTATCTACCCTCTTAGAAACAAAAATGTCAAATAAGGGCCAAAAAATGAAAAAAGTGGCCGGCCAAGACCCCAAAAATAACTTAAATCATAGATGGTTATGTAAATATGAAATCGGGTTGTTCCCTTATCCGTGAGTTATGATCGATATAAAGACCTGCAAAAGTGATTTTAGGTATTTTGAATGTTTGGGAAGAATTTCTGGAAGGATATAAAACCTTTTCTCCCATTCGCTCTACT